AAGGAAAACCTAGATTTGACAGTGTAGGAAACTGTTTGCGCCGTATTTCCATGACATAGTAGAGAATTTAACTGCCTCTTTGGAATAAAACCAAGATGAAAATCCATACTGAAAATAGTGTGTGTAAAACTCAAAAAAAAAAAAAATAACATCTTTTGAGTCTTATGAAAAGGACATTCAGTTAATTTCATTTAGTTTATCCAGTCCGGTTAGTCAGGTGCTGACCGTGTTCATTACCTAGTTGTTTTTCAATTTTCAATGTCCATATGCTGTCAAATCCTGCAGAGGGAAGTTAGAATTATTCAGACTTAATACTTATGTGGCCATGCGGAACATAATAAATTTTGGAGGTATATTGCAGTTATGCCCCATAGTTAATGCAAACACTTCAGCTGTTCCAAGACAAATGTTAATTTATGGAAAGATCATTATGAGAAAGTTCAGAATAGAGTGTTTGTCCAGGCATAGCGTGTTTTGTCTTTTTTTTTCCCCGCACAATGGTAAGATTGACAAAAAGTATTTTTAATAGTGGAATAGTGGACTTTTAAATGTGCTTAACTCTTTATTCGGTTTGTCTGTGTATTGTTTTGTTGTTGTCAATGAGTAGTTGTATAACAAGTTAATGTTATGTTGACTTAAACGATACAAATTAGAACCTGTTCTGTCTCTGCTTTGAGACCAGCTTCTGCTTCTTTGTTATCCGAACTAGCATGAGGTAGGGGTGGAAGGAAACCATGTTTGTGATTGGGAAGAAACCGCAGAAATCGTGCATTGGCCTTCCTGAATGATGGAATATTTCAAGTGCTTTTTGTTTCATGATCTAATTTTACAGATGAAAGAAAGTGCTGGCTCAGAGATTTATCGCTGGACTCCTAGAGGTCCATCAAAGTCTGTAACTTGGGAAGCCTTCCTATTTGTGGGAAAAACAAAACCAAAAAATTTCATTTCCGGTAGTTGTCAAGGAACAAGTAGTAAAGGAGGTTGTGGAGCATCTGTAGTGCCTTTGTCAGAGGATAATCCATTTTTTTCCAATCCTTTGAATTTCTACAGCATATATTCCACTGATACAGAAAATCATATTGCTTGTAGAATTAAGTAATGATTAATTCAGAAATGCTGTATTCAATAACCTACAGTTATTACTCATAGTTTGAGTATTCTGATTTGTAATGCATTCAGGTAGGGACATTGACTGCTGTCTCACTGTATGTCTACATTTTTGATCTAAAACCCCTTAGGTATCACGAATTAGTCAAGATTCATCCGAGCATCAGTAAAGCTCAAGATTGTCTTCACATTGAAGCAAGTCTTAAGAAAAATCAGGAATTATGGAGATTTGTTAGTTCTTCACAGAAACAATACCAAGTGCTTAAGTAGGAGTTAGCCTAATGCAGAATAGAAATAATACATTAGCATAGCTCAATTAAGAGTTCCTCACTGAACTCACAGAGGAAACCTACGGACACTAGACCAGGACAAATACAAAAAGAAAGCCAGAGCCTGCACAGATGAAATGGGAAAGGCCAGCACAGAAGTGAGTTACAGTTATCAAGAGGTTTCTACAGTAACCAAAATTATTCCAGAAATACTTGCCCCTTGAAAAGAGAAAGCTGATGCCCAGAAGAAACACTTTTTCTTCATTAATCCATGAACTCAGTCAAATATGAGCCTGAAAAGGGGAAACTACTTTCTAATGTTAAGGACACATTAAATCTGGTATTTATGAATAGATTGGGCAGATGTACCAGGAAATATTTTGTGTATGTGACCCTGCTTGGGCCTGGAAGATGGGCGAATGGTCACCTGAGATTCTTTCCCTCTCTTTTCCAGTGATTCCTTTATCTTGCCAGTGTTTGGGGCTACTGTCACTAAGACATGCAGACTTTATTGGTTCTCTGCACTTGGTTAATTCTCATCTGCATAGTTTGTTGGTAAAATGCTTATGGCTTTTCTCATTGTGTATCTATCTTCTGTAAGCCCTTAAAATTTTGATGTCAGAATTACTCATTTTTAAATTTATGTTTGTTTAATTTGATTTATAAATACAAGCATGAAGAATTGGGAAGAATTGATCGCTAAACAGTTTTCTTTATATAACATCAAGATAGTGTGTTCTGTAGAACTACGTTTTATATTGAACAAAAGTTTTTTTGAGTCAAGTAGGTGGACTTCTAGGCAAGCTGAAGGAAGAAGTCCTGGCCTTCTGCTCTTCCTTATTACTGGTCTGTGTCTGCCTATTGGTCAGAGTAGATGAATTCTCAGCCGACTACTTTAAATAGAAGTTATAGGAAGCCTGGCCATGGAGTTGCCCAGCAAACTATTCAGCACACTTAGTTCATCTAGGTGATTGTTTTATGCATATAAATATGTGGATTATATATAAATATACCCACACATATACATATAAAATCCACATTTATATGTGGATTGCTTTTTATATATATAAAATGCACATATATGTGCACGGATTATATGTGCACACACACTGCGTGTAGTTGGTTTTGTTTTAAAAATTTCCAAATGCATGAGCTTTCAGAGTGCTTTGCGAAGGAGAGCAGATGTTAGACTTTAGTGTTTGTTTCTGCCTTGTGAGAATATGTAATGTGCTTGTTGCTTGATTTGCAGGGCTGTGCTATGTGCATAGACCTTATGTCTGTTTTTTTTATTATTATTATTAATACAGTAGAATAATAGCACTGTAACTGAAGCTTTCAGTTACAGATCTGTCTGAGATGCATCTCTCTCATTTGTACATTATAAAAAGTTTCACTCTAATGGGAGTGCATATACTCTCTCAAACTGTTCATTCCAAGAAGATTTCATTGGACTGCTGTAATTAATCATGGAGCAGATGTAATTACTATTAAGATTTATTTCTTTTTCAAATTAAAGCATCTGCACATCAATTAGATCATCATCTGGCATGTTATCAGTCTAATCCACCTCTC